ACCCGTGCTTGTGGGTTTCACCGAAGTGGTAAACGTCTGAGACCTGCATCACTTCGGGCTTTCCCCCCACATTAGGCTGACACGCCGTGATATAATTGGAATAATGTTAAAAGCGGCGTAAAACCCAACTCACTCACTCAGTGTCATGAATCATGAATCATAATTGACATTGGTGTTTAGGTGGTGTTTGAAAAATAATTAGTTGCAAATGGACAGCTGTACTTGTATAACATGTGTATATACTGTAGGTGGAAATGTTTCCAAAAGGCAGGTATCCATAGCAACAGCAAATATAATGCAAAAAGGAGATGTATGCTTGATTCAAAATAATCTTTCAACCCTTGCTTCAAAACATTTTTTGGGGAAAGGAAGAGCTTAGCAACTATCTTAACCACAACAAATTTTATTCAGACCAACCAGAATGTCCTGTGAACAATATATTTTGGGGGTAAAACCTGGATAAAAAATGTTTTCAAGCATTTTCTGAAACAGAACATATTTTCGAAAAAATCTCTGTAATCCAAGGGAATAAAAACATACTCAGAGCAACCAATGAGTGAGCAAGTTGGGTTTAACGCCACTTGTAACAATATTCCAGTCAGTTTCATGTGGGAGGAAAGCCCGATGTGATGCAGGTATCAGCCATTTACCACTTTGGTGAAATCCATATGCACGGGCATGGTGCCGACAAACCTAAAAACACAATCAGGGCGAACCTATACCCCATAGGTTACTGGCGTGCCTATGGGACACAACTCTCATCAGCAACGGCACCTTAGACAACTGGGCCACCCGTGGCCCTGAGAACCGAAGAAATACACACAAGTTCTAAACACAAGAACATCTTACCAGTTGAACAACTGTTGCACATATCATGTTTCAGCTGATTACATAACGGCAAAGAGCAACAAGGAAGTTCTTGATGAGGATAATCTGTTCTGACAGAACAGAGAATGTGATTAATGCTTGGATTACCCCCCCTGGGGCAGAACTACTAAAGATAGCATAGTTTAGTCCTAGACAAATTCTGCAGTCAAATTATCAAAATTCTGCAGTCAAATTATCAAAATTCTGCAGTCAAATTACCAAAATTCTGAGGCTAAAAATTACGAACTTCTGCGGTAAAAACATAACTATTTCTCCCTCAAAAATTAATACAAACTCATTTTTTTTAAATGATAATTTTAATATCTTGCATTTAGATTCAAATCAAAATCCAAAACCAAATGATTCCACAACTGTCATCATCAACATTTATCAATGGATAAGACATAAAATTATTCAAATAAATATGGATAGTGTCACTGATATTTACTTATGGTTAGATGTAAACAAAGTTAATGTAGTCATAATACAATAAGAACGTGAGTATTTATTGTAGGAATTAATGAATTTATTGTAGGATTCATATTTTCTGTTTGATTCCTATGTAAAATGCTTGTGCATCATTCAAGTGCAAAATTAGATAAAAAAAGCTTTAAAATGATGAAAATTATTGTAATGATTTGATAAAAAAGAAGACAAATTCCAACATTTTTCAGCAATTCTGCTGCAAGTAGCATCTTCTGCAAATCTTTCTGTGATCGAAAAATCACAGAATTCATCTAGGACTGCTATTTATGATGAGCAAAATCTATTGAACATGCTCAACTTGTATGCCTAGCAACTTTTTCAAAAGTCAAAGGTTTTCTGTATCCAGCCAAGCATTCCATCTTTACAGCTTGAAAATATGGGTAAAAACTCATGATGGAGCTCGAGGATTTCACCTGTCCTTCCCTTGATATTATCATATTAAACACTAAATAATGGAATAAGACAAAAAAAAACATTAACTAAAGTACTGCTTTATTTTGATGACTGTTTCAAGACATTTTACGGAAAGCATAGAGACAGTGGTCAAAATAAAAGTAAAATAAAAATAATAATAATAAAAATGTCATAATTTGTATCTTAAATCTGTTAAAAGTATAGACTGTACAGTGAACATACAAAAACAGTAGTTTGTTTATTAAAGTAAAAAATAAGGGCTATTTCCTTTTTCATTATCGACATACTTTGAATTTGTTTCCATCAAATGTGCCGCAGAAAGAAGAAAGCATGTATGTGTGTGTGTGTGTTGCCTGTACTAGCCCAGACTAATGCCGTTTTTCTAGTGCTAGCCCACTGTTTAAGGACCCATAGGAGTACCCAGACAAGTGGATAGTCACGTGATATATTGTTTAAAGACAAAAATTATCTAGACCTGTATTTTAAACTACAAGTCACTAATCTTCACAGTTCTTTCTGACTACTACGCAAATTCCGTCTGACTTTTATATGTTGGAATAAAAACAAAACTTCCCGTCAACTTCAGTGTATACACCAGATTGTTTTTTATGTGTATCTAAACACATTTTGCCAGGCCTACGGTCAAACTTTTCTCAATCGAAAAGTTTGTAACCTTCCTCTTGAGACCTACAGCAGGTACCCGGGTAGTAAATTTGGACTCGTCCCAGCCCTTACGCTCAGTGTTCGTAACTACCGGTATGCAAGATACCGTTATGCATTTTGTGTCGCTAGATAATGCATCAGATGTGCATTTTGTACATAATTTATACAACCCAGTACAGGAACGAGCATGCTTGATGACCATTTGAAATAATTCTAAGGGATAATTTGAAAGTCTATTCATCAAAACACTGCACAGCCTGTGAAAGTAGTCTGCTATGTTTGAATTTAGCCCTGCTTGAACAAGACAAACTTGTTTACTATATTTACATTTTCTGTCCGTTTCAAGTTGTTGAAAAATTGAAGCATTGAGAACTGGTCCATAGTTACAGTAAACTACGCTTATAACGAACATGCTTAAAACGAACTGACGGATCAGTCGGATATAACAAACTATTTCTTGGTCCCGGCCATTTGCTGTATATATGCTTGTAACGAACTTCAATAAGTGGTCCATTTGAGTTCGTCATAACCGTAGTTTACTGTATAAGTCCTCAAATGCTGCTTTTTCATGAGGTTTGTTTGTCTGCTGTTTAACGCCGCACTCAGCAATAATCCAGCTATATGACGGCGGTCTGTAAATAATCGAGTCTGGACCAGACAATCCAGTGATTGACATCATGAGCATCTTATTTCATGAGGACTACCATCGTTTAATCTTTTCTTGTCCTTCAGCACAAACTAGTAGTGTAGTAATGAATCTCAAAGGCTGATAGCATGGGAATATCTGCTTTTGAACATATTGCAGTTAACCTTGAAGTATTGGACATAACCTAAAGAGTCAAATCATGCTTTCAGAAAAACAAAAACTTCAAATTGCTAGAACTATGATTAAGTATTGTTACGAAATTGCCAGCTGAATAAACCTTATTGATAAATTAATTTGGGGGGGAGCTTTTCTTAGCGTTAGGAATTGGCACTAATCCTGTAGTCCTCGCCAAACTGCCAAACAGTTAAGGTATTCTAATGACTAGTAGAAATTTACCCTTTGGACGGGTTTTGCTATATATTATCATTCTAAGGACCAGTTGGCTAAAACTATTAGTTTCTATCGCTGGTTCACTCCTAATATCATGTGAAATAAAGGTACTACCCGGTATACATCTTATTGTGAAACTTGACATATCAAGTACATGGACCAGCCATTTGTTCCATTGTTGAGTGAGTTAGGTTTAACGCCGCTTTTGACAGTATTACAGTTATACCACGGCGTGTCAGCTTAATGTGGGAGGAAAACCTGAAGTGATGCAGGTTTCAGACGTTTACCACTTCGGTGAAACCCACGAGCACGGGTTTGGTGCTGACAAACCTAGAAACATAATCGGGGCGAAATGGGATGTGAACCTACAATCATAGGTTTCTAGCGTGCATCTAGGTATGCAACTCTGCACAGCGGCGCCTTAGATGACTGGGCCACCCGTGCCCCCCGATTTTCTTGGATGAAAGCACTAATGAGATTTACTGGGTGGTGTTGTACCAAACAATCTTAGCGCTACGACTGTCATAAGTCTATGTTAAGGTATGGGAGTTACGATCACCTTAGAGCTAAGATCACACTCTACAACAGCACCCGAGTCTATTAGTCAGTCCGGACACTCGACGAGAAATCAACTAATTGCATGGAACATATTAAAAAAAAATTGTTTGCGCTGTTGACAAATATTGAAGTCTGTCTGGATCATTTGTAGTTTGTTTGTTCTTTAACAGTGCGCTCAGCAATAACAATCAAGTCAGGACCAGACAATCCGGTGATTGACATCATGATCATTGATCTATGCAATTGGAATACAATGACATGCATCACCCAAGTCAGCGAGCCTGAGATCATTTGTAGCTGGTAAATCAATTACCCTAACCTGCAGTGCAATCTGGATAACATTGTTTGTTTGTTGTTTAACGCCGCACTCAGCAATATTCCAGCTATATGACAGTGGTCTGTAAATAATCGAGTATGGACCAGACAATCCAGTGATTAACATCAGTAGCATCAATCCACGCAACCAAGTCAGCGAGCCTGACCACCCGATCCTGTTAGTCGTCTCTTACGACAAGCCTTGTCGCCTTTTACGGCAAGTATGGGTTGCTGAAGACCTATTCTACCCTGGATCTTCACTGGTCAATGTGGATTAGAAGAAATTAACAGAGATACTTTTTAATAATAACACCTCAAAGTTTTGATGTTTTTGTTTGTCACATGGCATCATATATTTTTTTATCACTTCTTTCAAACAGAACATGCAGTGAAATTGTTAATGTGCTAAGAAAATGGGATCACTGTGAAAAACTTCACGGATATATATTATTTAACACTTCCCACACACATATTTTTGGACATTTTACCCCAATACGCATCGGTTTATACATTTATATACCATATTCATCGGTCAGACACAGCTACAAACTGCTGCCATTGCCACAAGAACTCTTACCTGTAGTGTATCTTTCATAGTAAAATTACAAGTAGATGAAACTCCATTCTAAAAATATGTTACATCATTTATAATTTCACTCACCTGTCATCCCTGTACCGAAATGGGACTGACCCGGTCCGGGTGCTGTCATGGCCAATATCTAGCAACCCTGAAACAGGATGTTAACTTAAGCAACAATTTTCAACCAAGACATACCAAGTTGATCAAAATATTTTCTGGAAGAAAATCTTCTTTCAATTCAGATAAATATTTTATACCTGTACATTTACTGACTGAAATATTTACAAGTCATGCATCCATAGCCCAGTAGGAATTGACATTCTCTTTATCTATCTGAAATTAAAATCTATTCTTTTGAGTTTAAGCAAGAGGAGCTTTCATTTCTATCACTGAACCTGATGCTGTGACACAATAAATGAAACACTAACGATGAGAAATATTTGTTGCCATGTCAGGGTCATAACCTTTAGAAAAAAATTGTAAAATATTCTAATTTTTCTTTCTGACACAAAAACGTGTTGTATTGATCAAAAAGTAACACATGGCCAATCATAAAATATAACAGAAGTTAATGTGTTTATAATTCCAACTGAAAGCATGGTAGAAAAGATATATATATATCTTGGCATATCTTTCCTATTTCCTCACAGCTTTAACAAGGAATATAAATGTTGCAATCTATTGTACATGTTTCCTTATTCCTACTTGTGATTTTTGGTTTGGTTTGTTTGTTGTTTAACGCCGCACTCAGCAATATTCCAGCTATATGACGGCGGTCTGTAAATAATCGAGTCTGGACCAGACAATCCAGTGAGTGACAGCATGAGCATCGACCCACGCAATTGGGATCGATGACATGTATCAACCAAGTCAGCGAGCCTGACCACCCGATCCCGTTAGTCGCCTTTTACGACAAGCATAGTCGCCTTTTACGGCAAGTATGGGTTGCTGAAGACCAATTCTACCCCGGAATCTTCACGGGTGTCCTACTTGTGAAGACACATTCAGCAGTGTAAGAGAAGAAGATGGAATCATGTGTATACCAATAAATAAATATTTTGACTGTATCAGTGAGCATGACACAGCAACATTGAATGTGTAGAATTCTAAACATATAGTTTAAATTTTCAGTGAAGCATCAATTTTTATCACTGTTTAGTATTTTATACCAGATCTCATTTTATGCTTCATATTACAAAAAAAAACCAGCTGAATAAATTAAATTTTATTTAAAATAAATATGGTGTGCCTTATTAGACATGTAGAAGTAGTGAAACTATCATTCAGGAAAATGAATTTATCATGTTCCAAAATCTAAACATATTCATCATTTTGTAAAATAACAATATGTTTCAACTTCATTGCAAAGGCAGGAAATAAGTTTCATGTCGAAAATATGTTTGTGTTTATTTAACTACATCCAAATTGTGTTAAAATTTCTATATATATTGATGCATCACAATATTCAAATGTCCTGGAAATGACCCCATGGTATTTGTTGTAAATATCTTCAGAATGTTCAATAACCATAAGATAAGAACGTTATGAAAATACTTGTATATACGATTTCATCGTAACTATGACTGCTATAAAATTGTTATTTATAACGCTGATTGTCTTACTAGTTGAAATATACGGTTATAACACTGCTGAGCGATAACTGTAGCCTTGTTGGATCATTAGCATATTAATGGTATCGTCCAAGAGGGGGTGTCAACTCGGCAATATGGTTGAAAATGTCCCTTCTCCCTTTATTTACGTTATTCCTTCCCATTTCACACAAGACTCCAACATATATAATACCACCTATACCTGGAAAACACTACCATATATTATGTACAGCTCCAGTATTTAAATATTCACGACAAGTCGTTGGTTATATTCTGAAGGGTAACCGCCATTTTGTTAGAAAAAGTTTCCCGTTTCACAAACAAATTTGGGATGTGATGAGAGAAAAAAACAGTATGACACAAAATGTAATACTGAGAAATGAAACTTAGAACATTACCATACATTTCTGTAAAGTAGTTTAAATTTTTCATGCACGTTTAATGTGTTTTCTTTTCGTGTTAAATGTGTCTATTGCGATGGACTAGATTTGTCGCCATTGCTAGTCAAAGCACCCCCTGTTTTCTTAAATCCGTCTAGCTTGAAAATCGAAAGAAAAATTCATAAACAGTCATAACAGGACATTCTGATGGTACAGAATCGTGCACTGACAACTCCGTAATAAATATACGAGTTTTCTCCAAGCAACAACAGTGTTAAATAATTTTACGATCATATTTTTCTATTCCCCCGTGCAATGGGCTGTGTCGTTATGCATAATGGAAGAACCCCGAATCTCGATGACGTAGGGCAGGAAATAATATTTCATCTGCAAAATACACACTGAAAAAACAACGGACAAATAACAAAAAATAGCACCGTTAAATCTACGGACATCCTACTTATGAGGGAAAAAAAAGAAAATGATGCTAACCTGTTTTTTCGATGCAATAATGATGGAAATATTTGGTAAATAGTCGCCGTCGTTGGATTCACTCGCCAAGATGGCAACTGTTCGTTTGCGCATGCGTTACATTAGTATCTACCCCTGTGAATTTCACATGAGGAAAATATACATTTCGGGTGAAAGTGCGTTGCAGTCTTATGCTAAATTGGATATATTAATTGTAACTATTCACTTTCATTGTTTGCATATCAAATCAGAGCCGCAAGTGACTGAAAATAACAACCACAAAATTGTGCAAATGACGATAGTATTTCCGTAACGACATATTATTGGAAACATTCCCTTACATGCTTTTTGCGATCAGTCTACTTTAATGTGTTGAATGATAACGAATATCACAGAGATATTTTGCTATCTTGTTATGGGTTTTTTTCCCGTAATAATTTCCCATTCCCCTCTCCATACATATAATATAAACAAAAGAAGATTTGATCAAACTACTCACTGTGTATGGCCACAACAAACTATAATATTTGTTCTTCAGTTGTTGTGATTTTCTTATCATGAACGAGTAATGACAAGGCAGTAATAACCACTCCGCTGATAACAAGCATCATGAAAATCTTGGAAAAAAACACCAGTAATTGAATATCGTATTGTAGTTGTTATTCCATACATTTACAACAATATAGAAATTACGCTGTCTTCGAAAATGTCTTTACTGCTGTAATTTTCTAATGATTACATTTTATTACAATAATCATATAATGTATCAAATAATCAACAAGCTACGAGGAATTAACGGGTTCTGCCCCGGCTCAATAGTGTCAGCCCGAATTAAAATGGAGAGGGACTTGAATCATTCTCATAGGACTCATTAAGAAAATAATGAACGAGCTACGAGGGTTTTACGGATTATCAGTCGCGAGTGAATGAATGGTGAGGGATTTATCCCATTCATTCACGAGGGACAGAAAATCCGTAATTCCGAGTTTCGAATAGGTTTTTGTTTGTTTGTTGTTTAACGCCGCAGTCAGCAATATTCAAGCTATATGACGGCGGTCTGGGTCTGGACCAGACAATCCAGTGATTGACATCATATGAGCTTCGATCCACACAATTGGGTTGGTTTGTTTGTTTTTTTAACGCCGCACTCAGCAATATTCCAGCTATATGACGGCGGTCTGTAAATAATCGAGTCTGGACCAGACAATCCAGTGATTAATATCATGAGCATCGATCCACGCATTTTGGATCGATGAAATGCATCAACCAAGTCAGCGAGCCTAACCACCTGATCCCGTCAATTGTGATACGATGACATGCATCAACCAAGTCAGCGAGCCTGACCACTCGATCCCGTTAGTCGCCTCTTACGACAAACATAGTCGCTATTTACGGCAAGCATGGGTTGCTGAAGACCTATTCTACCCCGGATCTTTACGGGCCAAAATCCACATGTGCAAATATCGGAAATCTACAGGTACCATAAGTCTACACCGAAAAGACGTTATTTTTATTTCCATTCTATCATGACTAAATACAACGCGAACTCTTTGGTGTAAGCAAATAAAGGTTCCCAAATATATTGAGTGAAGCGGCATGGGTTGAGTCCAGTGTCTTGAGTTGGTTGTCAATCAGAATTTACGGAATCACCGACAACGAAATATGGCGCTCCATATGCTCGAGCAGTTTGTTTACTCCGTTATACTTCCTTAGAACATATGACAGGCACCGAAAGCATGTAGCACGGCAACTTGACAAGCTAACATGAGGTGGGCACCCAAAAAAGACGGCCTACCTTTAGAATACAGTACCACAAACTTTTCAAACACGTGACAATACCCTATACCCAATACCGTATTTGTTGCCATTCACACCGACGAAACAATGCCCTGTGACGTCAGGGTCATCGAGTGTGCATAAGCTCCTCCCAGTGATCCAAAAGACTGAGCAAGCCTTGCAAAGTTTTCGTTTACACAGACGTCACTATTATGACGTCATATCGCTCGTTGTGACGCAAAGATATGACGTCACAGTCGTGTATAGAAAATCGCCAAATATCAAGCTCTCTGTCAACGACCACGCGATGCTACTGCTGCAATGTCAACGTGACAGAGGGGTTCAAAATATGTGACTTTCGTGACATTGTACCCTTTGGGAAAATGAACTCTTATCTGCCCGATGAGCGAACTAACCACTAGTCGGTACCCAAACGTGGATGAAAATCCACAAGTAACAGGATAAGCATCAATCACCAGTATTTTTTTATATAGTAAATGTCAAGAGGTAAGTATATCAATGTTTGTGTTTGAGAGTACTTAATTTCAACAACATAGTATAAAATATTCGTCCCATCTTTGAGGAAACAGATTCGAAGATGTAATATTCATGTTGTTGTGGTCTTATAGATATTATCTAGCATACAATATATTACTACCCGTAGAGACATCCCGTGTGGGAGTCCCTCAAACAGGATTAATATAGAAAATATATGTCCTATAGAAATGTTTTAAAATATATAAAAAGAGAATCTCACCCGAGTGTCTTTTAATATCAAATATATCAATGAGTACTGATATATTTGATATCAAAAGACACGAGGGTGAGATCTTATATATCATCCAACATCATTCTTCCAACTTTTTCAGTTTGTAGACAGTAATAAGCAGTGTCTAAGTGTAAAAATCCTTCTAATATCTTCAGTAGCAGAGCCATTAGTGATGTCATTTGATTGTGACGTCATGGTAACCAATGCCGTCACAATTGTCTGCAAAGCATTGTGATGCAATTTCACTGCAGCGATATCTGCAATGTAGATATGCTTGATCTCACCCAAGCGTTAAAACACATCTGTGACGTCATTCTATTTTTTGAACGCTCAATTATTTTTAAGGAATGGAGAGTTGCTTGTCAACTGTACATTATCCTGAAGCAGCATTTGAATTTTTCAAATATTTTCAACCACAGAATATTTTGTCAAAGTGTAAAAGTAGGGATGAGTTTTAAGTAGGGGTATATCCTCGTAACTCTCCATTCCTTAAAAATAATGGGCCTCGGCCCATGCGGGGCCTCTGCTCCATTATTTTTAAGGAATGGAGAGCTACTCGGACATTCCCCTCTACATATCTCCCAGTTTTGTATGATAAAAACCAGGTAAGGTCCGCTTTTGGTCTGCTCTGTTCCTCATGACTTGCGTTAGACACAAAGTGACACAAGTGTAAGCAGAGTGTGTGTGTGTGTGTGTGGGGGGGGGGGGGGGGGGGGGTGTCATGGTGGCCCTGTGATCTGAGGCGCTTTCAGCTGTGCAGAGTTGCGTGTATTGTATCTGATAAATATTAGTATGGAGATATAGGGAGATATAATACACTGGTTAATCGAGGATGGCATGTGGGCGCCCCAGCCTAAAATTGACACTTTCTGTCATGGTGCTCACACTTAGTTACCTTTATTTCAGAAAACGCACCTTGATGTCATTATTAAAAATTCTTGAAAGTTGCCCCCATGTCTCATAACTGTTCAGAATTAGCTGATATAAGACCCTGCAGTTATGTCAGCGTTGTTACAAACCTCTATTATGTGCTGATGCTCCTAGCTATCCCCCTTCAACCAGGAACTGACTAATCCCCAGCCCATTGTGAGTACTTGATCTTTGTCCACACAACCGTAATCGAGTGTCGTATATCTTCATAGAGTTATTACACACACTTGTAACTATTTGTTATGTACTACTACTTGTGTTTGTAGGGGGCACGGGTGCCCCAGTCGTCTAAGGCGCCGCGATTCGCTGTGCAGAGTTGCGTCCCTTGGGCACGCCAGAAACAAGCTCGTTCCCAGCGCGTGACACCTTCGTTACACTCTCGGTAACATCGCTGCCACCAGTGTTGGCGCGGCCATTACAAGAATCTTGAAATTTGCCCTCTAACCCCAAATGTAGTAACGTATATGCTTTTATTTTTGTCTCTTGGAATGCCAATACAGTTATTTTTGAAAAGGTTTACGACTGACCATATTTCCCAGATGAATTTAACTTTTTGTTTGTTTGATCAGATTGGTTCGAGACTGCAGACGAACGGAAAATCACCCAAATCCCCCCTTACATTCTTACTATACCAGTAACATGATAGTTGAAATGAAATAGAAATTCAAAAAGACGAAAAAAGAAAATATTTTAGTTAGGGTAGGAGTATTCGGCGTCACGGCTGTCATTGATTGTTTGTAAGCATAACGGTCCGTCTGTTGCGAGCTCAACTCCAAGCATGGCTGTGACCACATATGACAGTGGGGAGTTTTGACAGGTGGCAGCGACAGTATAGAGAGCTCCGCGAATTAGCTATCGCTGTGAGGAGTTTGCGCCAGAAACCTACGATTGTGGGTTCGAATCCCGGTTCGCCCCGATTATGCCGGCCTAAATGAGCATTCAAGAACATTTTAATGTAGTGTTACCTTATCATCATATTTACATGGGGGCACGGGTGGCCCAGTCGTCTCGCTGTGCAGAGTTATGTCCCTTGGGCACGCCAGAAACCTGTGTTTGGTTCGAATCACGGTTCGCCCCGATTATGTTTCTAGGTTTGTCAGCACCATACCCGTGCTCGTGGGTTTCACCGAAGTGGTAAACGTCTGAGACCTGCATCACTTCGGGCTTTCCTCCCACATTAAGCTGACACGCTGTGATATAACTGGAATAATGTTAAAAGCGGGGTTAAACCCAACTCATTCACTCACACGCTTGTGTTTGTGATGTCGAGCGCGAATTCCGCTCAGTGTGTATTTGTTGTGTATTAAATGTTCAGAAATAGTGATTCCGATGATGTCCTTTTTGAGCCAATTATCAAAATTTTTAAAACGTTTTTATCAATATTTTCACCATGTTAGCTGATCGGACCTACCAAAATATTTCAAACGTGGAACAGAATTAATGTTACTTTTTGATTCCCGCAGAGTCTGTTAACAATTTGTAGAGAACACTTTCTTTTTTAAAGCCCCCAAATTATACATCGATACTGGAGGGGACGTAATTGTTTAAACTACTTTTCAATGAAACGCTCGAACCCAAGCAGGGGGCACGGGTGGCCCAGTTGTCTAAGGCGCCGCGATTCGCTGTGCAG